AGCAGTGATGGTTATCAAGGAAAGGAGGAAACAGTTCTGAGAGCTGTGATGAAGAAGAATTTATATTAGTGATTCCTGAAAATTTTGGGGGAAATCAACTCCTTTGTGAATCTGATGCAAGCCATTTTACTTTAAATGAAAACCTTGCTGATTTGATCCGTTTTTATATCTGTAAGATCTATGTCAGGGAAACTGTGCTGGTGACCATCCATGTGGGTCACAGTTCTTGGTTCAGGTTGGCCACCAGAGGTCTCTAATGCTAGTGTGCAGGTGAGGTGGGAAGAAAGTGAAGTAGCATTTCTTTGGTGCATACTACCTTGGTCACGCACCTTGTGAAATGCTTGCATGATTACTCAATTCTCACAGTGATGCTCTGAGGCTATTGAGTAGATGGGGAAAAAAAAAAAAAAAAAATGAGCCAGTGTATACATCAGTGTCTTACACCTGGAAAATGTCAGATGAAGGTTTCAGACTTGGGTTTGTCTGAGTCACAACACCAAGCTGCTTTCCCCTGGTGCTGCCATATTTGGTCCAAATTGAATTCCTATGATTATCAGCTTCTTTCTTTCCTGGAATCCTGTGGTGCAATGTGGTACCCTCTGTTTGTGCAGCTGAAGGAGACATTCATGACATCATTCCTGATGGTTTTGGAGGCTGACAGCAGAATATTTAAGGAATGACATCAAGCGACTTTCCTCAAGGTCACTTCCTCTTCATGATCTCTGCAAAGATCACATTCCTTAAGGATGCGGAGGGGTGGGAAACAGACCCTATTTTGTCAGGCAAGTGATGCCTGGGGCAGCTGTAACAGACAGATATGTGTGTGTGTGTGTGTGTGTGCATATGTGTGTCTACATCCTCTGTGACATGCCTTGGTGGTGATTATATACTCTCTACACTTGGCTAAAAACAAAGCAGGTCTGCAAAACTTGCATGACTCATGCTAGAAGTGAAGTCTTCACTCCAAGAAAATAATTCTCATTTTAAAGGCAAATGCTGAGTCCAACAGCTGCCAAGGTTGCACTGCCTGGTGTAGTGATGTGTATTAATTTGACTTATTAGAGACCAACACTACCATAGGTTCTTGAAGAGAACATACTTAAGTGGACCTTCAGTGCCTCTGCCTCTTGCCCTATTCAGGTTTTGTTTAAGAACTTTCAGCGCTGGTGCAAGTCTAGGTGATAAGAAAAGGCAGCCTGATTTGGTAAGACCCTGAGATTTGGAGTCAAGGAGGTCTGATTTCACATGTGGGTTCTGGCCTTTATTACAACACAGCGTTGGAATTTATGCATCTGAGGGTTAGTCACTCACCTGTGAAATGGACATGGATGTGCTATATTGAAGAGTGTTTATGAAACTTTGGGATTGTATGTGCAAAGGAGCTGGGCTTTAGTATTAGCTTTGATGCACGTTCTCTGCTTAGCTGAGTTATAATCGTCTCACTTCCCCCTCTATATTTATTTCTTTATTTAAAGGAGAAAGATATTCAGTTTGAATTATATATTATATATATTCACCCTATCACCTGTCTGTCAGTTTATCTACTATGATGGCTTTCATAATGCTGGAAGGTATGCCACCAAAATTTCAAGTACCAGCAGGGTCACCTAGAATGGATTAAGTTTCAATGGAGCCTCTAGATTAAGATAGAGTAGGAAGAAAGTCCTGGTGGTCTGTGTCTGAAAGTCAGTCAATGAAAACTGTATGGAACACAACATAATAGTGTCTGACACAGTGCTGGAAGATGAGCATCCTGGGTTGAAAGACACTCAGAATGCACAGTGGCTGCAACAATAGGCTTGAGCATAACAATGATCACTAAGATGAGGCAGGACTGGGCAACATTTCGTTCTGTTGTGTATGGGGTTGCATGAATTGGAGCTGACTTGAGGGCAATCAACATATATTCACTAGTGGCTTTTGCCATCTCTCCATCCCCTTTTTATTTAAACATTCCACTATAGGAAGATGTTCATTCTTTAGAGAAAGCACAGTGGGATGGGAGAATCAGAAAGCAGGAATCAAGAGATCTTGTGCTTGTTTCTGGTGCTGCTCTAACTCTTTAAAGGCATACAAAAGTCACCTTAACTCCTGCAGCCTCTGTTTATTTGTCAGTAAAAAGAGGCTTGGACGAAAAGACCTTTGAGTCTTTCAGCACTGGCTTGACCATTTTTCCTAGAAGTACTCTCTGAAGGACTGATTTGGATTCTAGTGATGAGCCGGGTGGTGGGGACTATGAAGCATTATCACTTTGGTAAGCCTTATAGATATTTTTTATATTGGTTGATACTCAGGACCACATTTCCTACAATAAGCCAAAAGGGGGCCAGCATGCCAGTGATTCCTTTACCATGAATGTCTGCCTGGAGGACAAGATGGGTAGGGCTGGTCTCTGATCATGGACCTATATCATTCTGGGAAAAACATTTATCTGTTCATGAACATTGCATACACATGTGGATCTTTTTACACACAACTGATTTATAAGGGGATGGATTTCTCTGGAACATAACTTGGGTTGATCATATCTGCCAGTTAAAATTAGTATCCTAGCATGAGCTTGTTAAGATGTTGTATGGTAGATTATGAGGCTTTAACATTTATGTCTACCCAGAGGCACCTAGGAGGAAAGGCCTGGAAATCTGCTTGGGAAGACTCAGCCATTGAGAACCCTACAGAAGGCAGTTCTACTCTGATGCACAGCAGGTTGCCATGACTTGGTATCAACTCCATGGCAATGGGTCCTCTCCTTGAATCCTGGGGTTGGGCCTCAGCCTTCCTTAAGAAAAAGAAAAAGAATGATAAATTAAGAAGTATAACTACAGTTATTGAAAGCTTCAGAGGGACTAAGTGGGTTCTGTTTATGTTTTAAGGTCCCCGGGTGACACAAGCTGTTTGAACTCAGCTACTAACTGAAAGGCTGTCTGTTCAAATCCACCCAGTTACATCATGGAAGAAAGTCCTGGCCATTGAAAACCCTATAGAGCACAGGTCTTCTGTAACACACATGCGGTTACCTTGACTTGGAATTGACTCAATGGCAAGGGGTTTGTTTTGTTTTGTTTATGTTTCACCTAAGGATGTGGAATGATAAGACTTTTCTCCAAATGAAAGGTGACCAACTGGATTTGTTTGCTTGGGACGACTGTTACTATCAGAAACTCTTGACCCTCCTTGGAATCGTAGTATATTAGAAATGAAGAGGGACTAAGGAGGTTCTCGAGCATTTTCTTCTTGTCTTGCACCAAAAGATCTGTTTATACTCCTAGTCCTTCTTTTAACTCAAACATGTATAAAATATATATCCTTAGAGAAAATTTCACTTAAAGAGAGTCACCTGTGCAGGAACATAATCGTCCCTGAGTGGAGGGGTGGAGTATTTTAGATAAGAGTTTTCTTCAACAAGAATATGAGAAATGTAATTTCTCTGTATTCTTAGAAATTTGACAAATTAGTTATGTCAGGGTTTTTCATATCTGGTTCATTTGGGAGATGTTTATGCTTAGAAGGAACCCTCATGGCACTGTGGTTAAGTGCTTAGTTGAACTGAGAGTTCGGTGGTTCGAAGCCACCAGCCATCCCATGGGAGAAAGATTTGACAGTTTGCTTTGATAAAGATTTACAACCTTTGAAATTCTGTGGAGCAGTTCTACCATGACCTATAGGTTGGGATGGGATCAACTCTACGGCAACAGCTTTGGTTTTTAGGTGCTAAGCAGTAGCATAGTGGCTAAGGCACTTGACTGCTAACCAGAAGGCTGGTGGTTCAAACCCACCAGCCACTCCTCGGAAGGAAGGTTGGGCAATCTACTTCCCTAGTGATACTGAGACGGAAACCCAAGGAATCTGACTGCACGGCAGTGTTCGGTTTTGGTTTTAAGCAGTTAGGGTGGCTTTTGCCAGCAGGTGGCGCCAAATATTTTCATTAGAAAAATAGCATTGCTGAAGGAAACCTTGCCAGTCTTCTCTCTTCTAGTAAAAAAGTCTTTCGAGTGAGCGTTTCCAGTTCATTCACCCACATTCAGGAAACATGTGCCTTTCTTATTTGGTAACTCTTTGGCAGCCCACTGTTGCAGTTCAGGGTGAGTTATTTCCTTGAAGTTTGTTAAAAGGGAAGTATGGATGAAATGAAAAAACTTGAAACAAAGCTTTATTAGGGTTTTGTAGACCAATTAAAATCCAATCTCTTATCCCATAAACCCTTCCAGCGTCCCCTCTGGGTCCAAAAGTGCACAAGAGGCTGAGACGGAGGTCTCCGGCATGCGAGATAGTTGGATTTGAATTTTTTTTTTTTTAATCACTTGTCCATGTTATTTTCTTCAGATCCCCAACCAAAAGTTTTGTGGTCTGTTTAAAATCTTGTTCTGTTTAGGAAAGGGGGTATCATGAAGCCACATGACTGATCCAGGCCGCCAGGTTTTCTGGGGGCTCACATTTGCTTGTCAGGTGTGCATGATGTTGTTGTTGTTGTTATGTGCCATCGAGTTGGACCCGACTCATAGCGACCTCTCCTTGGGTTGCCGAGGCAGTATCACTAGGGAAGTAGATTGCCCAACCTTCCTTCTGAGGAGTGGCTGGTGGGTTTGAACCGCCAGACTTCTGGTTAGCAGTCGAGTGCCTTAGACACTATGCTACCAGTGCACGATGAGGGGGATGAAATTTTGCCTCTGTTCACTGTCCTCAAAAAGAAAAAAAAAAAAAAAAAAACCAAATTGAAGATCCTGAAAAAGAGTGTCCAATTTATATTGTTATTGTTGGCGGCCACTGAATTGGTCCAGGACTCATGGTGACCCATGCACAATGGAAGGAGACATTGCCCAGTCCTGTGCCATCCCATGATCACTTCAAACTGTTGCGATCCATCACATTTTCCTTAGCTGGTTTTCAGAAGTAGATCAGCAGACCTTTTTTTCTGGTCTTTCTTACTCTGGAAACTCCACTGGAATTTGTTCAGCATCATAGCAACTCCACCCTGGAGTGGGTGGTGGCTATGCATGAGGTGCATTGGCTGGGAATTGAACCCAGGTCTCCCACATGAAAGGTAGGAATTCTACCACTAAATCACCAATGCTCCCTTGCCAATATATGCCAAATTCAAGAAACGATCAGATTTTTCTTTAATCAAAAGGCACATTCATTCATTTATTTGAGTAGCCATTTGACAAATGTTTATGGAGTGTCCACCATGCCAAATATTGCACATAGGAGCCAGGGATACAATGATCAAGAAAAACAGACATGGTTCTAGCTCTTGTGGTACCTGTAGTCTAGTGGAAAAACCAGAAATAATCAAGTCACCCAAATGAACATACATAACTGCTTTGAAGGAAAGGAGCACTGGGATATATTTGAACCAAGGGAGTAGAGCTAAACTCGAAATGGGTAGGAGTAGAAGGCTCCCTTATGAACTGACTCTTTAATTCTTCCAGTGATGCTAAGAAGAAGGATTATGGCTTTCATTGCACAGCTAAGAAATCAAAGTCAAATCAAAGTCCAGAGAGGGTAAGTAATTTGCCCAAATTCACAGAGCAATTAAATGGCATTCAAACCTAAATCTGACCTGCTCTGAAAGTCATGCACTTTCCACCAAATCACACTGTCTATGGGAAGAATTAGACTCAGGAGTAGTATACTTAGGTGCTTTTCCTACCCTTGACTTTGGGCACCCTCTCTTGAATGATGATGTCATCTATGTTGCTCACATCCTAGGGTACCTCATCCTAGAATGTATGCCCTAGTTAGTGCCACTCATACACCCTCTCTCTGCCTATTTTTTTCAGATATCCCTGCTCCATCTGAAAAGCACAGTAAGGAAAGCCAGGCTCTGAGGACTGTGGGCTGATCTGTATGTAAATATATATACTAATGGGAGAGGAATAAAGCAGCACAAATCTTTCTTCCTAGAAGCTGTGGAATGAATTAGATGTATCTTTTGATCCCATTATCGCTAAAGCCTACATTCATAGATGTTGTAAGTATAGGATAGAAATATTAATTCACGACAGATATTGCTTCTGGTATAACAGCAAAAGCTCTGGACTGTGGACTAGCAGAGTACAGTCCTAGTTCCAGCTCTATTAGGGAGCAGAATGCGGTACAGAGACAAGGAAAAGAGAAGGAACAGGCTGTTTGCTTAGTCACATACCAGCCTCCAAGGTGGCCACGTGGTTTATCTCAGCCTAACCTCATTTGCCAGCTTTATGTGTGTATTGCTCTGGGTGGCGGTCAAGATGCAGAGTGAATTAAAATCTTGGAAATTTGATTAGAAACAGGTGACCAACGGCAATTTCTGAACAAATGCCATTGATTTTCTTCATCATTCAGAGAGTGTAAAAAAATTAAATTTCCCCATGGTAATCAGGCGGCAATGTGATCTGGTGAGGAAAGCAGTACATTGGAAATCAGAAGACTTGACTTTGGTCCTCGTTTTCAGGAAATGGAGTAAATTCTCTGACCTTTCTTCTTTTCTTTCCTTTCTTTCTTCCAAGCTTTACTGAGATATAATTTACACATAATAAAACAGGACCGTTTAAGTACATTGTTCAATAAGTTTTGATAAATGTATTTATCCACATAATCAAGATATACAACTTTTCCATCATTCACAGAATTTCACTCTCATATCTGTGCAGTCAGTCCTTCTCTCCTCCCCAGCCTCAGGTAACAACTGATCTACTTTCTGTCGTTCTGGATTAGTTATCCAGCTTTAGAAATCCATATACATACATTCATGCAATCTGTATTCTTTTGTGTTTTTCATTTCTCTCAGCTTGCTTTGGAAATTCAGACATGTTGTTGTGGGTATCAGTGTTGTTGTTAGGTGCTATCAAGTTGGCTCCAACTCATAGAGACACTGTGTACAACAGAGCAAGACACTGCCCGGTCCTGAGTCATCCTCACAAGCATTGTCATGCTTGAGCCCATTCTTGCAGCCACTGTGTCAATCTAATTGAGAATCTTCCTCTTCTTTGCTGACCCTCTACTTCACTAAGCATAACGTCTTTTCCAGAGACTGGTCCTAGATAACATGTCCAAAGTACAAGAGATGAAGTCTTACCATCTTTGCTTCTGAGGAGCATTCTGGCTTTACTTCTTCCAAGACAAACTTGTTAGTTCTTCTGATGGTCCGTGATATATTCAATATTCTTCACCAATTGCATAATTCAATGTTGTTGTTGTTATGTGCCACCGAGTTGGCCCTGACTCATAGCGACCCCTCCTGGGTTTCCGAGGCAGTATCACTGCAGAAGTAGATTGCCCAACCTTCCTTCTGAGGAGTGGCTGGTGGGTTTGAACCACCAGCCTTCTGGTTAGCAGTCAAGTACCTTAGACACTATGCTACCAGAGCTCCTGCATAATTCAAAGGCATCAATTATTCATCAGTCTTCCTTATTCATTGTGCAGCTTTCACATGAGTGTGAGGTGATTGAAAATGCCATGGCTTGAATTAGGTACACCTTAGTCTTCAAAGTGACATGTTTGCTCTTTAAAACTGTAAAGAGCTCTTTTTGCAGGAGATTTGCTCAGTGCAATATGTCATTTGATTTCTTGACTTCAATATTTTCTCTCTTTGCCAGTGTTTTGAGGTGTAATCTGTACTGAAGGATGTAGTCTTTGATCTTAATCAGTAAGTGTGTCAAGTATTCTTTGTTTCAGCAAGCAAGGTTGTCATCTGCATATTGTAGGTTGTTAATGATTCTTCACCTCAATCCTGATGCCACTATGTTTTTCATATAGTCCATCTTCTTGGATTATTTGTTCAGTATACAAATTGTACATGTTTGGTGAAAGGATACAACCCTGACACACACCTTTCCTTATTTTAAAAAGCACAATATCTCCTTGTTCTGTTTGAGTGACTGTCTCTTTGTCTATGTACAGGTTCCTCATGAGTACAATTAAGTCTTCTGGAATTCCCAATGTTATCCATAATTCTTTATGGTTCATATAGTCAACTGTCTTTTCATAGTCAATGAAACATAGGTAAACATTGTTCTAGTATTTTCTACTTTCATCCAAGGTCCATCTGACATCAGCAATGATATTTCTCCACATCCTCTTCTGAATCTGGCTTGTATTTCTGACAATTCCCTGTCTATATACTGCTGCAACCAGTTTAAATTATGTTGTTTGATAACTTCTGCATTCTGTTGCATCACTTTCTTTGGAATGGGCATAACATATGGAATCTCTTCCAGTCACTTGGCCAGGTTGCTGTCTTCCAAATTTCTTGGCTTAAATGAGTCAGTGCTTCCAGTGTTGTATTTGTTTGTTGAAACATTTCAATAGGATCCTGTCAATTCCTGGAGCCTTGTTTTTTCACCAATGCCTTCAGTGCAGCTTCAACTTCTTCCTTCAATACCATCAATTCTTGATCATATGCTACTTTCTGGAATGGTGGAATGTTGACCAGTTCTTTTTGATGCTGTGAACACTGTGTATTCCTTTCATTCCCTTTTGATGATTCCTGCATCATTCAATACTTTGCCCATAGAATCCTCCAATATTGCAACTTGAGGTTTGAATTTTTTCCTTCAGTTCTTTTAACATGAGACAAGCTGAGTGTGTTCTTCCCTTTTGGTTTTCTAACTCCAAGTCTTTGCACATTTCATTGTAATAGTTTATTTTTTTGAGCCATCGTTTGAAATACTTTGTTCAGCTCTTTTACTTCATCATTTCTCTCATTCACTTTATATACTCTGTGTTCAAGACCAAGTTTCAGAGTCTCTTCTGACATCCTTTGGATCTTTTCTTGCTTTCCTGTCATTTTAGTGACCTTTCACTTTCTTCATGTATGATGTCCCCACAACTTGCCTATTCTTTGGTCACTGATGTTCAATGCACCAAATCTATTCTTGAGATGGTCTCTAAATTCAACTGAGATGTACTCAAGGTTGTATTTTATCTCTTGTGGACTTGTTTTAATTTTCTTCATCTTCAATGTGAATTTGCATGTGATCAATGATGGTCTGTCTGTTCCACAGTCAGCCCCTCACCTTGTTCTAATCTATGATACTAAACTTCTCCATTGCGTCTTTCCACAGATGTAGTTGATTTGATTCCTGTGTATTCCATCTGGCAAGGTCCTTGTGTCTAATCATTGTTTATGTTGTTGAATAAAGGTATTTGCAATGAATAAGTTGTTAGTCTTGCAAAATTCTATCATGGGGTCTCCAGAGTCCTTTTTTTCACCAAGGGTGTATTTTCCAATTACTGATGCCTCTTCTTTGTTTCCAACTTTTGCATTCCAATCACCGATAATTGTGACTGCATCTCGATTGCGTGTCTGGTCAATTCCAGACTTCAGAAGTTGGTAAAATCTTCTTCTTTTTTGGCTAAAATGTCTTCATTTTTGGTAAAACTTCTTCACTTTTGTAAAACTTCTTCATTTTTGGCTTTTTGTAACATAAGCATTTGAAGATATATGTTTCCCATTAAGCACAGCTTTAACTGCATCCCTCAAGTTTTGATATTTGTATTTTCATTATCATTTATTAATCTTATAATTTCCCTTTTTATTTTCAGATTATTTTGAAATGTATTGTGTGATTTCCAACTATATTTTGTTATTTATTTCTAATTTAACCCTGTCATGATCAGAGAACATCCTTTTAAACTCACTAAAACATGTATTATAGCCCAAATATTGTGTGACTTGGTCATGTTCAACAGGCACTAGAAGAGGACATGCATTCTGCTTTTGTTAGGTCTCTCACTCACTGCCATCGAGTTGATTCCAACTCATAGTGACCCCTTTGGATTTCCAAGCCTGTAAATCTTTACAGAAGCAGACTACCTCATCCTTCTTCCAGAGTGGCTGATGGGTTCGAACAACTGACTGGTTAGCAGTCAAATGCTTTAAGCACTACATCACCAGAGCTCTTTTTGTTAGGTCTGGTATTTAATAACTGTCAATTAAGTCAAAGTGATTGATAGTGTGCTTTTATTTTTTATTTTTTTTATCCTACCTGATGTGTGTGAGATTCTTGAATCTATGGGTTTATACTTTACATCAGATTTAGAAAAATTTTAATGTGTTGTGACTTTAAATGTAAATTTCCACTTTTCCCC